AGCTCCCGGGCTCAAGCTCTGGCAGCGAGCGAGTACCCTCCCAACCAGACGGTCTGCATTGCACACCCCAAAAGCGCGATGTGCATCAGAACTAGCCTATACAGAGCGAGGGGGATTTCTATCTATAGCGAGCGACTCTAACACTCACACGTCATTTGGGGCCTGGAGCCCTGTTCACGCGCGCGCGAGACGTGCAGACAGGGTTGCCAGGTGAGAGCGAATGGCGCGGTTCACGCCTCGCACAACAGAGAGAGAGATGCGCTCTGCATGGTGGGACATGTTTGTTTGTTGTAAACGATGCCCATGGCCATGCAAAGAAAGAGAGAAAACAGAGCCAAAGGAGGGATGTTGGGAGGACGGCACGCTACATGCGAAACCCCGGACGGGTTTTCTTGCCAGTCCGCGCCAGTCTGCGCCCTTGTCGTGCCAGTGTGCTGTGAGAGAGGCTTGTATCTTAAGAATTCTTTTCGGGACGGGGGTGCATCCGGGGTGCATCCGCCTACATCTGCACGCCGCCATGCTCGCCCTCGCTCTTCTCGCGACGCCCTCAAACGCCGCGTCTCGCCCCCGTCCGCGGCGCGGGGGGGCACTCACCGACACGCGCAACCGCACCGACTTCAGCATCAAGCTCGAGACCGACGCGCCGACGCTCGCCCTCGCGGCGTCTGCCTCGCGCAAACCCAACAAGGCCGCGGAGCTCCTGCTCCACCAAGACGTCCTCGGGGGTGGGGGGGCGCTGTTCGGTGCCCGTCCGGACGTCGCCACCTTCCATCCAACCTTCTCCATCCCGTTCAACCTCTCCAAGTTCAGCGGCGCCGCCTCGCGCGCCGCCGCCCCGACCACCCTAAAGCCCATCGGCGCCGCGGCCGACGCCGAGCTCGCCTCCTTTGGCGAGGCTGCCGGCGCGGTCAAGAATGGCGACGTCTCGCTCGCCGACTCCACCGTCAACTCCATCGGTGTCACGTGCGGCGGCGGCGCCGCCCCTGTGTGGTGCGCGGAGCCGTTGCCGCTCGCCGAGCTCTGCGTCTCTGAGGATCCGATCGAGGCCTCGGGCTCCACGAGCAGCGAGACGAGCCTCAAGACCGCCACGGCCCACTCGAAGAGCGAGGCCGACGAGACGGGCACAAAGGTGTGCGACTCTCCGCTCTCTCCCACACCGTCTGTGCTCCGCCGCCCTCCCCGCCTCTCCATCTCCGCCCGGGCGCCCTCGCCGCCCCCCACTCTCCTCCCACCACCCTCTACCCCTCCCTGCCCCCGGGGCCGCCCCCGCCCCCGCCCTCCCCCAGCCGCCCTTTTCCGGCCTTCCCCGCCCCCTCCTCCGCCGCCGCCACCTCCCTCACCCCT